CCCCCGTCCTAAATTTTTTTTAAATTCTTTTTCATTTTTTTTATTTTTTTACAATCACCCCTAAATCACACGTCAAGGTCAGCGAGAATAATGAAAGTGATCACCAACTAAATAAGCTTTTGATTGTTAAACAAATTCTCCTTGTGAGCATCATAGATATGAAGAACAGCATGAACAATATGCATACTGATGTCATAATGTAACGTTACAGAGAAAGAACCTCATCCTAGATTACTTTTGGCCATCAATTAAAAAATTTTTTCAAAAGAAAATCGAGCATTCAGTTTTGAAGTGTATCACGGAAGATAACGTGCGCGCCTCATCGTCCAAGCATTCATTTTTTTTTTATTTTTTTATTTTTTTTCGTTTTGTTTTTTCAAAGGACTCAACGGGAACAGCCCCTGGTGTTCACCAGTTTAAAGTGGGTATGAAATTCGAGGCAATTGACCCATTCAACCCGAGTCACGTGTGTGTTGTGACGGTGATCAAGGTGCTGAGGTTCAATTACTTCGTGCTTGGAGTCGATTCCTTGGCCACTTACTTCGTGTGTCACGCTAATTCAATTAACGTGTTCCCCTGCGGATGGGCTAAGGCTCACGGGCTGCAGTTACACCCGCCCAGAGGTGGTATATGCTTCTTTTTTTTTTACCCTAGAAAATTAATGTTTTTCGGGAAGCATTAGTAAGCAGACACACCGGGAACGCAGAGAAAGTGTCAATAACTGGAGTTAACCGCGCGTGAGAATGGTTCTCGTCGGAGGGCAACAAAATTGTAAGCGGTAGCCATACAAGGTAACACAGCGGTCAAACGTGTGGCCATGTGTGAACTTAGAAATGGCTCAGAAGCGTCCAAATCTGTTGATAAAGAGTTTGTGTGGAAGTTCAATCAGGGTATTACGAGGACGGTCGTGGGAAGAGCTATCCTTTTACCTAAGGGTTCCGTAGAGTGATTTCATGCGGAAATGCCAGTGACGCTCCAACAGTGTCGCCAAATGAAAAACTGAGTTTAACACAACCCTGGGTCCGGCCAAAACAACTGGCTTTCAATCTACGTTGGAAATCAGTATGTTCTCTTAATTAACTACTCCTTAAGGCCGGAAGACACATTGTAACACTTTGGTTTTGATTCATTTAGATTATACCCAAGAGGCTTTCAGCTGGCCTGAATATCTTGCCAAGACGGGTGGTATTGAAGCCCCTCCACAGCTCTTTCGACAGGTACTAACTACTTTTTTTACCACAATTAGCTGTAATGTTGCAATCTGATTGGCCAGTTTGCCATTGTTGATAAGGGTACAAACAACGCTGCGCGCGTCAACGTGTCACGCAATGGTCATGAACTGAAAGAATCGTTTTATTTGACGTCGATATTGCGTCCACAACATTTTCACCGCTGTGATGACGAATGTCGTTGCGGTTAAGAGTATAAACCACGCTAAAGCACTGTTAAGTTACCCTTTGAAGCGCTCAACTAGTGACATCGGTACATAAATTCAAACTTTTCTCTATCTACGTATAAAGGATGTAAGTTTCTAAAGAAACTGTGGTGTCTCGTCGGTGGGAGGTATAACAAGATAACTCGGTTTTATCAACTGAGTTGGGAATGTAAAGATATTCCAAAGCTGATGTTTCGAACTTTAGCCCTTACCGTTACACCGACTTGAATAGGACCATTAGCTAACCATTGAACGGTTTCATCTCTCATTGTTCAGGAGCAAAGGGGCGAAAACAATTTTAAAATTGGAACCAAACTCGAAGCAGTGGATCTGCGCGAACCCGCGCTCATCTGCCCCGCGACAATAACAGACCTCAAGGGACCCCTGCTGAGAATCCATTTTGACGGCTGGGACGATTCCTACGACCAGCTGGTGGATAAAGATTCGCTGGATATCTTTCCTGTCAGCTACTGCACCTCAGTTGACCATCCTCTGCAACCTCCAGGGTGAGAATTGTTTTGTTTGTCTGTATTCCTATCTGTCTTTCTATCTGGTTGTCTATCTTTCAGACTGTCTGTCTATGTGTCTGTCTGTCTGTCTGTTGGCCTGTCTGTCTGTCTGTCTTTGTCTGTATGTCTGTTGGTGTGTCTATCTGTCTATCGGTCTGTCTGTTGATCTGTCTGTCTGTCACTCTGTCTATCTTGTCAGTTTGTGTTTCTGTCTGTCAGTCTGCTGTTTGCCTGGCTGTTTTTCTGTCTTTCTTTCTTTATGCCCTTTCGGTTGTCTGCCGTCTCGCCGTCTGTCTTTCGCAGTGTTAGGTTGAAGGAATCTCGCAATATTATTGGAATGTATAAATCATTTTCATTAGTTCCCTTTGTTGTGTTTACACAGCGACCCTTTCTGCTCCTTCATCTAAACCCTGACTCTTTCTCGGCTATCTTTGTGCAAATCGTTCCTAAGTTTTTCAAGAATGCAGAAATTCAGGATGTGTTTTATGGGTTCAAATTAAGAAGGTGCATTACTCGTAATTTCATCGCGGCAATTCAAATTCAGGCAGCTTCGGCTATCCTTTAATATAGAGCCAATTATTAGCTTTAAGATTTGGTGTGGACGCTTTATGCCAAGTGTTATTGAGGTTTTTCGTCAACTCCAGATCGCCATCGTTGTAATCAAATTTATGTGTGCCTGTGGTCCAGTTAAAATGAAAATCAAAGCAATCTTTTGCTTACATCTTCGTTGATCATGACTCACATCGCTCGTCTGTTCGTTAATTTTCCCACAGACCAATGCCTGATAAATTTGTGGAACGTTACGGTCCAGTTACGGATGTCAGCCGTCAATCCGCACCCAGACCCCTGAGTAGGCCTGTCAAGAGACGAGCATCCGCTGACGACGATGGGCAAAAGAAAAAAGGTGGGTGCCGCCGCCTATTTTGTGCAGCGGTATGAGAATGAAAAGCTGTTGTTTACATCTTATCATTGTACCGTTGCTAAAGAAACTAATAACCTGACGCAGTCAGGATGTCGACGCCAAGGAAAACGTTGATTCAAAAACGTGAAGTTACCTTTTTCGGGAAGAATTTCTGGAATGATTCCATGAGTTTACCTTTTCTAACAGAGCCTGATCTCATTTCGAGCACAACATGAATAGATAGCGTTGAGTTCTGACTAACCCTAAGAGTCACAAACATCTAATTTCTCTTTACAATATCACCCCTGAATCACACGCGAAGGTCAGGAGAATACAGGAAATGATCAACAACTAAAGAAGCTCTTGATTGCTAAACAAATTCTCCTTGTTAGCACCATAGAAAAATTCGATAGAACAGTAAGGAGAATATGCATACTGGCGTTAGGCTGCAAACGCTTAAAACAAGACTGATTTACCTTCAGTGTTCAAGTCCTCAGACAACGAAAAAGACAGGCGATTTCACGTTGTTGTTTTGCGTTAGACAGCCACAAGCTGCACTAAGCGCGTGCTGGGCGATTGTTCTCCTTATTAAAGTTTTTTTCCTTCATTTTCGTACCCGACGTGGTTTGCTAAAGGCTCCTACTTTTGCTTTTCGCGGACTGGCAAATAGAAATTTTTGCTCAGACGAGCGTCTAACCTCCAAAACTTCAACTTCCTAAAATTTTAATAACCGTAAACAACTTTACGTTGATGATTAGGGAAAGATTCTAAAAAACAGTTCAAAACCTTTTCTGTTTCCCATCACAGCCAAATCGCTGTACCCCCAGGAGGAGGTTTACCTAAACAAGCGCTGCTACCCAGGACCACTCTTGAGCCGAGACCTAGTGCGCAGTCTCCCCGATGCTGTCAGAGGCTCCGTGGTAGGACCTGAGAAACACAATATCATGCGTCTGTGTATGCAGCACCTGGTGTCCGCGTCTATCAATCCCAAACAGGTCCTGGAGTTGTTTAGCCGCGAGTTTTATCAGAGCAAGAAAAACAGGCAGGATATTAGCTTATATGCCCTTACATTGAAGGAACATGTTTAAAAAAAATAATGGTAAACAGTAAAGAGAACTATTGTAGAGATCTAGGGAGTGAAGGAGGTAATCAGACAGCCCTTGTCAGTCGAGGCTACTTTTATAGGACCGGGTTTATCACCCAAACTGACTCTCTGTTTCCTTCCCGTTTCTTTTTGTTGTTACCAGAGAATTCCAACTTGGCGGAACAGTTTGCATTGAGACTAAGAGCAAGAACGGGAAGCGACTTATGAGGCGTGTCCGCGTGGTGAATAAAGCGGAACATCTGCAGCCTTATCTGCAGCGAGTCTGTCAAGTGCTGGGGTGCTGCTCGGAGCTTGTCAGTTCCACGCGCTACGCTCTCGGTTCCTGCAATCAGAGCAGCTGTCTGAAAGGTTAGGAAGAAGCTCATGTTTTTTCTTTTTTTTTTTTTTTTTTTTCCGCAGTTGATCATGTGACTTTTCAGATAAATTAGACATGTTCGTCTGGAGGAAGTTATTACCGCGAGTCTTCTTTCGTTTACTAGTGAAATATCCAAAATATTAACGGGAGAGGGTTGGGTTCTACTCGAAGTTACTAAACAATAACCAAAGAGGATAAAGCCTTGACTTTATGACGCTGTTGGGGCGTACAAATAAAACTTTGTGAGGTAACACCGTGTTGATTTCACTCTCTTGTTTGGCCAAAAAGGATCAGATTTCCTGATGACTCGGACTGTTTCGAATGGCGTTATTACTTTTAAAAGATGAGGAATGGCGGGGATTTTGTTTGCTTGTTTCTTCGTTACTTACTTTTTATGCTGTAGGTGTATATTTTTCATTTTGCAAGACATTTAGAAGATAAAACAATCCTCTCTCTTTTTTTCGAAAAATCTGGAGTATTTATAAGCGTGGACGTTGCATTAATCGGCACTTTGTGGAATATTAAAAAGAAACGTCTTGTAGCAACTTTCTTCCTCGGCGTGGAGTAGTGTTGTTTTTCTAACGAATGATTACCTTCAGGGAAAGACAATGGTGTGACATCGTCAAGCGATGGCCGCGCCCTGCAAGAAACAACCCTTGATATGCCACACCCACCCATCGCTCCTCCTAGCATGAAAGGCCATCACGACTCAGCTGTGTGGCTGCAGCCTCTGGAGAGAGAATCTTCACACGACTCGATGGTGTCTTCCACAAGTAACCTTCCCTCCTCTTCCGCGGCGCAAGAATCAGACGCAGCTTCAGTTCTGTTGTACCAGAGCTGTAACAGCGGTAAAGATCCCCGGCTGTGGAACGTGCAGGAGGTGACAAGTTTTATGTTCTCCATCGGCTGCTCAAATTACGCGGATGCTTTTGTCAAAGAGGTATGTCAGTTTGTTTCGGCATTTGCCAAACGGTGCCTCAATATGGATTGTTTCTTGTTTGCCTTTACCTATTCTGGCGTTTGACGGAGACAAGTGCCTCTCGTGCACGCTGGAAGGAGGATTTAGTTATCTTCTCTTGAACGTGCTAGAAGAGACGTGAAGTAAAGGAAGGGCTGTGCTGCGTATCTCTCAGCGCGCAGGACGTCTCCTCTCTCGCCAGTTTCCACGAAAGCCTTTTTCTTTTCCCTCTCTAACACTTAACCTTACATGTATTCTTTAGTAAGTCGAATTATCTTTTTGGATAACTTCGAAACTTGTTTACAAGCTTCGAGTATGTTTGGTAAATCTTCAAAAAGTTTTGGGGTATTCTTAAGAAACAACGAATTTTCTGCCTGTTGTACATCAAAAACTTAGTGACGTCCAGGAAATCTCTGGAGTAGCTGTCGCTTTTGAAGACCAGCTCGTTAATAGGTAGTCTTTGCGCCACTTTTAGGCATACAAAACGCGGAAGATATTGAACGATTGCTAACTCCCTTTCAGGGTGCAATAACTTGAAAAAAAATAGGAGCAAAAAAACTCAGAAGCAAATGTCGTTGTTTGCGTTGGTTGTAAACTTGTTATCTTGGTTCTAGTTTGTTCTTTTCTCCCTTTGCAGGAAATCGATGGTCGCGCACTTTTGTTATTGACGCAAGAAATGCTGGAATCGCTGACAGAAAACAAACTCGGCCCTATGACGAAAATCCAGAGCGCCGTCAAGGCTCTTAAACAAGCGTGGGGCATTTGAATATAAGAATCAAAATTATATAACGTAAACACTACAGTTTTATTCCGAATTTAATGTAACCACAGTCTCTTGACTGGGCACGTTTTTGTAGTAATATTTTAATGTGTTTTTTCTACTTAACCCTTCATCCTCAGCATACAAAATCTCCCAACTGGCTGGCATAGATATATCTATACTAGAATCTTGGAGAAGGTGCATTCTTATCAAAACGGTGTTTCTTCAGGGATTAGTGTTGGTTTTCTCATTTCCTGCATGCCCGATAATTAAGAGAAACTCTGTTTTGATAATTGTTGGGGTCTTAGAAGGGTTGAGGTTCGGTAATGTGCGCCCTCCCTCCCCCCATCCTGACAAGGGTATAAACTTAGGGTGGGATCGACAAATAACAATTATTGGATCGAGAGCACTGAATCCACAGTCACTTTTTAAGGAGTGCTGTCTTTCATTTCATAGTTACTTTCGGGACAGAAATTTAAATGAGTTAAGTAGGCATAGAACTTTATAACTGACAGAAACTCATTTAAAGGATTTTGAGCAGTCACATTATGTTTTCATCATCTTGAAAAGGTTTGAACTGAATTTTTTAAGTTCGTGACTCGCAATCCTTTTCAATTTTCGCTATCCTCGGCCATCATTGTTCCAGCGTGGCTTTTTCCTGCCTCTGTTGATTTCGTCTTTCTTACTTAACGTATTTTGTAGTCCCCTTCGGTCATAGGGTTTTTTTTTTTTTTTTTTTTTTTTTTTTTTTTTTTTTTTTTTGTTGCTTGGTTTTTTTTAAGAGCGCAGAACATCACTCAAAATGTTCTCGATGAGTGCCCTGTTCCCGCTGCTGAACTAGTCAGATTCCAAATTAAAGCTAATGGCGACTCGGCAAACTACGTTTCCCGCGCAAACCCACTATTCTCATTGGCTCTGGTTATATTTTCCTTCACTCCTATTGGCCGTTAGATCAGTTTGGTTTTTGTTCTTGGTTTTACAACACTCGACTGAAAACGCTTCATATGCAATTTTTTTTTGTTTTTTTTTTTCATTTTTATCAATTATTTTGATTCTTCAGAGTTTTCAAGACAGTTTTGTACTTAAGAAAAATTTCGTATCCTTTGCGTTGCTGAGAGTTCGTAAAATGTTCTGTCAGATATCAAGAGAAGATTTTGCACCCTTTTACTCATAACCTCTACTTAAAAGCAAAAGGCAGCGCCCATGGGAAAAAGTGGTTCACCATGTATTCGTTTTCAATAACTCCCGATGTAGACCTCTTCTAGTCCCAAAGCTTTATTTATGCCGAAGTTGTTAGGTAGCGTATTTGTTTAGTTCAAAAACGTAATGCGACCGTCATCGTGTGTCGCCAAATTTACTATAGTTGTTTATAGTCGTTAGTCGAATCATAGTTAAAATATTTTAACGAGATTTTTCCAAAGCCTAAAGACGCAGACTTAATAGCACAATAGCCACTCAATTTGTTGCATGTACAATGAAATGTTCCTAATTATGAAGTATGATAATGTAGGATAAGTGTCGGTATCTGAAGTGAACAACGATGCACCCACCCCTCTCCTAAGCCAACAACAATCAACTGATAACGGTTTAGGGTTAATGTTGGGTTGAGGGAGGGGTGGGTGAGCAGTTGCGTTGGATACTGCTATTGACCTATATGTATTCACTCTCAAATGGTTAAACTGCTTCTGGTAAATTATACTGCCACAAACTAATGCTGCTTGGGTTTTGAGAGATCTTTTATTCGAATTGACGAGAAAGTTATGTTAGATTTTGTTTCGTTAGCGTACATTTAAACACTTTAACCTCTTTATTTCACCAAATTGATGGTAAACAAACCTCCCTGCCCTCTTCTTTATTAGTAGATTGTTAGTTTAGAGTAGAATTTATTTTTATTAGTATTTTATGCCTTTTTTCGTACGTCAATCTTGTATCTTCCACTCCTTTATGGCGTACGTGGAAATGAGTGAAAACAGAATCCGCTAAATAATCTGAATCAAAGCAATTGTTTTAATATCCAGTAGAGAGTCTGTATCTTGATAATTTATTATATTGTTCACTGCCCTAATTTGCGAATATCTACCTTTTAATGGTTCTATGGTATGTCTAAAGGTCTAAATTAAAATTTCACTCACGGAACTGCCTGGTTCGGTTTGTGAGCCCACGGTTATAAGTGTGTCACTGAGACGTAGTCAGGTGATAGTTATACAAACTCTCGTGCATTAATGGAAATCAACCGCCTCTCCCTTGTTCCGCCTCGGACAGAGACAATTTTACGAGAGGCTGGAGGCGGTCGATTATTAAAAGAGAGCTCAGTGTGGACTTCCTCTCACACTTTATTGTAGTGTTTATTCGGTCTCCTCTTCTTTAATCTTTTACATGCTGATATCAGGATGCATATTCTTCATACATTTCATAAGGTTCTTACAAGGAAAATTTGTTTAACAATCAAGAGCTTCTTTAGTTGTTGATCATTGCCTTCATTCTCCTGACATTAATGTTTGATTCAGGGATGATACTGTAAGGATAAATTACAACTGTAGCTACGATCACTTGGGAAATGCGCAAGGTACCGCGCTGGTCCATAAGTTATCAATCTACGTGCCCTCAGAACACATTTCTTATTATGAATCCAGTGCGAAGGATGGAAATTAGAAATTGTTTACACCTACGACCACCTTGAAAGGAAAAAGTGTTAACCGTGCTAGAATTGAAAATAAAATGGAATTTCTGGCGTTTGAGTGCCAACGGATAAGCCGGAAATTAGAAATTTCTGCGGCACAAGAGCAACAGGACAAAGGCCTGGGCCCTTGAGTATAGATGCATTATGGGTATAGTGATACGAGTATTAAAGCTTGTGATTGCACGTGGGCAATCATTCTAGGCAGACACCTTAGCTATTGCTAAGTTTATTCGCGATGGAACAACTGCAGGTTGAGCAAATCGTCAATGCCGCTATAATTAAGAACAACGAGACTCTTCTCGGTTCAATGAAGTCAATCCTCGACAGTTCCCTTTCCGACATTAAGAGGGCTAACTCTGACACTGCTGACTCGCTTCTTCGTGAAATTAAGAAATTGAAGTTCGAAGAACCCCGCTGGTTCAAGAAGAAGGCCAATGAAGATCAGTACAGATTCAACTCGAAACTGACGAACGTTCTAGATGAGGCGAAATCTTCATGTTCTACGCAAAACCTGGACAAGGTCAAAGAGTCGCTAGAGAAAGGCAGGTGAGAACTTGTTAGCGGAAAGGCAGAAACATATCCTTTTAGCGGACAAATCAGATTATGGCTGGATGGTAATACAAGAATATAAAAAGAACGATCTTGCCGACGATTCCGACGATGAAAAGAAGATTATTAGAGCAGAAGCGAGAGCGAGAACCAAGCAGATTTCACAGAAAGCCAAGTCAAGAATGACTGCTTCAAGACGGGAGTTTTCTAAGAGCCAACCGGTCGCGGCTGTTTCTAACACTGATGTCAGTTCTGCTTTGAGGCCAATTCCAACCATCGATGCTCAATTCAGAAATCAAACGAAGCCGGGATCTTGTTTCGCTTGTAATAAGCCAGGCCACTGGAGAGCACAATGCCCGCTGTTAGCTGCCAAGTCCCGTGCAGGTCAATGACTAGCTGACCTCGAGGATGGACAAGATCAAGGTGTAGTTGTTTCTAATTTTTGCAACGCTTTTCCTAGTTCTTTAGGCGGCCCAGGCAATGGTCTTCAGGACGATCTTGTTGATTCAGATTATTCATCGTTGTTTGTCACTGTTAAGTCTTTGACAACGAGTGAATTTGATTCGTGCCAGTCTAAAGTTTGCTCGGTTCGCGGGAATTTAGCAAAGTGTTGTCAAGAATGGGAGAAAATTGGTGCTTCAGACTTTATTTTGAGTGTTATACGTGATGGGTACAAAATTCCTTTCATTGAATTTCCACCCCCCAAGGTCTGCCCAAACAATGGTTCAGCCCTGAAGGAAAAAGAGTTTGTTTCCGAGGCTATTTCTGATGTTCTTGGGAACAGATGTGTGGAGGTTCTCGATTACCCTCCTGCCATAATTAATCCACTTTCAGTTTCTATTCAGTCTTCAGGCAAGAAAAGGTTAATTTTAGATTTGAGACATGTTGATCTGTATATTTTCAAACAGAAATTTAAGTGTGAAGATCTTAAAGTGGCTCTCAAGCTTTTGTCTAAAGGATTTTATTTGTTCAAGTTTGATCTTCAGTCTGGCTATCATCATGAAGAAATTTTTCCAGACCACAGAAAGTTTTAACAATCAAACTTTCCGCATGTAGTTATAATGCTAAGCTTTCCCGCTTCAATTCCAGATTTTACCAGCCAGGTAATGAGACTGTGGATGCTTTTTTACAAGACTGGGACTGAGTTTGAAAACAATTGGTTACTCCCTCCAGTTTCGCAAATTGCGAGAGTTCTTGATCATTTGAAGTTGTGTAATGCAGAGGGTACACTTGTTATTCCTATGTGGAAGTCTTTTTTTGGGTATTACTGTGTAATGATGGAAGACACTGGAACTCGTTTGTTCATGATTGGGTTGTGCTTCCCAAATTTAAGCAACTCTTTGTGAGAGGTAAAGCTAAGAATGACATGTTTGGTGCAAGAGAGTTGTCTTTTGCAGTTGTCGCACTGCGTATTAGTTTCAAGTTGCCTGAGAGGAGAAATCCAGAAGGATTTTGCACTCATGACAGTGGCTGTTGTTCTATATGTCGCAACAGCTAGCGTCTTTTGTACACAGTTGGTTGGAGTCTTTTGCTACTCCACGGTCTGAATTCACGTTTTCCATTATTTGTTTGTTATTATTTGCAGGAGATCTTCGGAATTCTATTAAATGGGAGCAGCTTTATTTTCAGATTTGTCAGTTACTTTAGTACTCAATATAAAGTTATCTTGTTGCTTCTGATTTCTCTTTTGTTTTGTGTTCTCTTTTTCTGTATGGAGATTTTCCAAGAGGGCCTCTGGAAAGACACTTCGTTTAAGGATCCAGATTTACAGTCCCTTAGCTCCAGGCTCCAGACGACCATTTTGTTAGCGAGGGCTCCTGGGACGGTAAACATGTATGACAGAGCCTTTAGGAAGTGGAAGGAATTCGCCTTGCGCAAGCAGGAGCTGTCGTATTTCCCTGCTAATCCTATGCACGTTGCTGTTTATTTACAACATGTTTTAGAATCCACCAGATCGAGTGCCTCTGTTGATACTGCTTTTTATAGTATCAAGTGGGCTCACGAGTCAGCGGGTCTTGTATCCCCAACGGATAACCTTTTAGTTAACAGGGTGCGGGATGCCGCCAAGAGAATTTTATGCACTAAAAGGGGTAATAGAAAAGAACCTCTTTCCATTGAAATTCTCCAGGATATAATCGATGGTTCTGATTTGTCCAATACCCTTCAACTTAGAAATGTATGTCTTTATGTGCTTTGTTATGCAGAATTTTTTAGGTCCGAGGAAGTCACAAGAATAAGAAGAAATCATATTAAGTTTCTTGAAGACCACATGATAATTAAGGTTGAGAAGAGTAAAACTGATCAGCTTAGGCAAGGATATGAACCTGTTATCGCGAGTTCAGGGGGCAGCGCTTGTCCAGTTTCCATTCTTCAACAGTATTTGAGTAGGTTGAATATTGATCCTCATTCGGATGAGTTAATTTTCAGGCAGTTGGTCAAGACCAAGTCGTCCTATAAGATGTAATTTGGATATATCAACAAAGTTGAAATGGTAAATTGGCCACCGTAACAATTACAAAAGCTGACGTTTCGAGCGTTAGCCGTTCGTCGGAGCGGATAGAGGAATTGTGGGTTGTGTGTGCCTTTAAAGGCAGAAAATGGAGCTACGTTGTCCAATACGTTGTCTTATAAGATGGTTAACAAAGACAAGCCAATTAGTCATTCTACCTTCAGAGATCATTTATCAAAGAGTTTACGT